CTCTGAGCCACTCCCAGGCCGCTGAGCTGCATGCACTCAGCTCGGTTGCCTTTGTCCTTTACTATGAGATTTAACTCTGGTCAGCTTCAGGCCCAAGCATGCAGGTGCAGTTCTCTCCCTGCCTTCTCCTTCCCTGGGCATTGGCTCATATTCATGGTTATCTTACATGGCAGGCCCTGCTGCTGCTTGCGTGTAGTGATAAGAGCGGCCGGGCTGCGTCCCCGGCACCCGGCCGCCCGCATGGCTAGCTTATGCCTGAAATAATTACGCGGAAACTGTATTCTTTTAAACGCTGCCTGGCCCGTTATCTGTAGCCTCTTACTGGCTAGCTCTTACATATTAATCTAACCCATTTCTAATAATCTGTGTAGCCCACGAGGTGGCTTACCAGAGAAGATCTTAACCTGCATTGTCTGGAGTGGGAGAATCATGGCGACTCTCTGACTCAGCTTCTTTCTCCCAGCATTCTGTTCTGTTTACTCCACCTACCTATGTTCTAACCAATAAAATGGGCCAAAGCAGTTTCTTTATTTTTTAACCAATGACCTTCCTCCATCACTTGCGTGTTTTCTTCTGGCCTTAATCCCAGCTCTCTTCTCTACTGGGGGTCTCCAGAGGCCCTCTCAGCCACCCTATTGATCTCGGTCTTTCCTTTGTCCTCCCGCCTCCCAGTGTTCCTCAGCGACTTGTGTTGGAAACCATCATCAGCCTTCTAGAACTGTTCTCTTTGAAGGGAACAAGCCAAAGAAATTTACCACATTTTTTTAAACCATCTTCTGTGGAGCAAAAATGTATAGTCAGCCCTCTGTCGGCCATTCTACTTCCATAGAGTCAGAGTATTTGAAAATGACTTTCAGGAATTTGTACCTACACTGAATGTATAGACTTTCTTTGTGTCATCATTCCAAATGCTACTGCAAATGGCACTTACATTATAGGATGTGTTGCAAGTCATCTAGAACTCATGTAAAGTACATGGTTTCATAGGTTCCATGCAAATAATTCGCCATTTGTCTAAGGGGCTGGAGCATCCAGGGATATCAGTATATGCTGGAGGGACTAGGCAGTACCTGGGCCCAATATGGCTTTGTTCTTTTGTTGTTATGTTTAACCCACCCTTCCTAGAGGGCTGTGTGGCTCAGAACTGGCCCACGGTTCCTTAGACCCGGGTCTGCGTGCAGCCAGCATGGAAATTGATGGTAAACTTTGAGAAAATGTTCATAGGATCGGAGAGAGAAATTTTGTGTTATTTTCCTATAATAAAAATGAACCTACTATTTGTATGTTATGTCTCTTCATTCCATTTTCCTAGCAACACTTAGTTTAGGGCATTTTGCATACATTTGGCTGAGAGGTACTGAAATGTTTGTTTTTTCTAAGGAAACTGCTCCGTTGTAGATGGTTTGAAAAATGCTATGGCAGTGAATTCAGTTGTTACCACTGGTTGTCTCTTCAGTCCCCTGATGGTCAACCTCTGGAGTCAGGGTCATGACAACAACAGAATTTATACATGTTCTGGAAGAATTTTGTTGTTGCTGTTGTTTTAGGGGGCTTTGGTTTGTTTGTTTTAGTTCTACATTCACAAAATTGAACGCAAGCTTGTAGAGGAGAAAAGGAGGCACAGTGGCTGATGGGAAGGGATGACCAGGATCTGGCTTTTGCTGTAAAAAAAAAAAACCCAACATTTTAGAAGGTAGGCTTCATAATGGGCTTCTTTGTCAGTCTAAACACTGAGTAGCACAGGCTGGGTAACACAGAGCAGCCCATCTTTTGTTACTCGAATGTTTTCTCTCATGGCAGATGAGAATTTACAGTTGCTTAGATTTGTTTTCTATGTAGAGTTTCCTCCACACCAATGCAAATTTTAATGACGGGGTACAGAGGAATAGCTAGCCCTGTGTGGTTACCACCACCGTCACAAACAATGGCGGAAGATGGGCTAATCAGGACCGTTTGCCGGTGGGTATGATTAAGCTAAATTTAATTCACCCAAAGATTCAAGAATGGCAACATTGCATGCTCCCAGAAGAGAGTTTTCATTCCTAAAACCCTTCCAGAGACTGCTCAGTTTGAAACCAGCTCCCTTGAGTGTCCTTGATTTGTCTGCAACGTCACATTATTTGCTTGTATTCTCGTGACTTAAGGGAGTGTTGTTATCTGAACACAAGCAGGATTCCATGTTCGTTTGGATTATGGTATCTTTATTTATGATTTGTGCAATTGTAGTGCCTTTTGTGGGGGAAGGGAAGCAGAGGAACTAGATAGAGACTCAATTACCCTTCAAAAACACAGCTCCGCTCAGTAAAACGTTAAAGTGGAAGTTTAACATTCGGTATATAGGGTTATTTTTTTAAACAAGAAAACATATAATAGTCTAGAATTGAATGCTTTGGATATTTAAACATTGGCTGGTGGGTTGACTTTACTTTGAAAGCAGATAAATGATACATTCAAAAAAATTCAAAGGCCCCTCTTCTCCCCTACTGGGATTCCTGCATATACATCCATGACTTTCCTGCCGGCTTTGAACTGCTAGACTTTGCTGAACACAAATGCTCCCCCTGGCTTCTATAAACTCACCGGATGTCTGGGATGCATGGCTGTTAGGAAACATATATGCACATGTAGGACACCTTTCATCCTCGAAAGTTCAGCTAAGTCCTGATGGCCACACTCTGAAAATGAAGATGCCCTTCCCCCAGAACATGAGGGCAAAACCAATTGCGTTGTAATGTCTCAACATCGATATTTCTCTAGCGACGAGAAAAGCTTTCAGGTTTCCCTTTAGGTGAATTGGGAGAAGAGTAGGAGGAGGAAAAGCAAAGATGAATGGCAGAGAACTGCAGATACTCTGGAGCCACGTGCACAGGAGGGTGGGAGAAACACAGTCACTACAGTCGTGTTATTGGGGTATGGTGAGCTTTGGTGGCAAGCTTTTTCTTGAGCTGTAGGCGCTGCAGATAGAGGGTGAGGCCCTTCAGATGCTCATACCAAGACTTTCTCTTGAAAAAGCTTTGGGTGTCCGTGGCCGTGGAATGATTTTGTTATTAGACTATCCAGAGAAAGAAGAGATTGGCCGTGACTGGGCTGAGAGGGAATACGAGTATGTCCTGAAGATGAGGGCAAAGCAAAGAGGATGACTGTGTAGACAGGTGCTTTACCGACACCAGGCATGATGCCGGAGATATGCGACACGGCTTCTACATAAGGTTGTGTTGAGACAGGACTGAGAGATCTCTCATACCTGAGTGACTTTGTAGCCAGATTAGATGCACTGGGCTGCCTGGTACAGAATCCGGTCCCCTCCTTCACTGTAAACTCAAGGGCTGCAGCTCACGCTCTGCTTTCTATTGTTGAAGGACCTTCAAATGGTGACTTCTTCCTGTCAACCAGAGATCTGAAACCAGGGGAGTGCCTTCCTCTTCGGTCATCCCCCGCCCCCATTTGAACATGCAGGAAGGGAGCAGGAAGCTTCACAGTTCGCTAGTCTATTCTTGAAAGTTTCCAGGATAGATTAACCAGGTATCAGGGATGTCTCCTGACACTGAAATTTGGCGCTATTCCTCCTTGTATGCAGGCAGGATGTAGCCCTTTTGCAGGACTGTTGGCTGAATTTAATGTCAACATGCATTGCTTCAGACTCACATCTGGTTGAGAAATTCGCTCCTGTTCACATCAGAGTATTGATGTCCTGCAAAAGAGAGAGAGAGAGGGGGGGGGGAGCTGGAGGTGCTGCTGTCGTATTATAGGGTGTCACTGCTCGAATCTTTTTTCAGAAGCATACCCTGTAACCAAAGAGACCATATTCTGACTGAAACAGGGATAAAAAGGAAAAAGGACTATAAGAATTAGAATCACTTGTGTACAGTAGTCCCCTGCCTATGTCAGAGATATATTCCAAAAGCCATAGTGAGTATGGAGTCTTGAAATCGTGGCTATTTCTGAACCCTGCATAGAAGCCCTTTGTGCTTTCTATGGGTACCCTGGTGATCTAGATGGCTATGCCATGACAGGCAGGCAGGCACTATATACAGTGTGCATTTTATGGTGAGGGGGATCATTCTTGTCATAGGCACAGAGGAGCTAGATAACATGAAGTATCTACATGCTACTTTAATAATGATAGGTTTTTTTTAAGTGAGAGTTTCATATATGAGCATGTTATTTATAACATTTCTGTCCCAATTTCCCTCCTCTGTCTCCTCTCACATTCTACCCACTCCCTCCCAAGTCCATGAGCTTTTCTTTCTTATTGTTACACATACACACACACACACACACACACATTACATACATACATACACACACAGTGTTCATTTTCTTTCTCTTTGCTTTCTCTTTGGAGATACCAGCTTGTTTTGTTGCCCTGACTGGTCAGCTCAGCCTTGGGTGACAAATGGCTATATAAATAGGGTAGGGCTGCCCCGTACAACTTTTGAAGGAAATGAGGTGGTTTTGGGCAGTGCAGTGACAAAGTAGTCACATGTGGCCGTTGGACACTTGACGTGGGGCTGGCATGACTGAGGAGCTGAATGATTTTACTACCGGGAGATTTTAATTGACTTGAGTATAAATAAATGCAAGTGGCCGGTGGCTACCCGATTGACGGCAGCCGGCCTATGAGTGGCCTATATATACCATGCTTGGTATCTAGCAGGCTAATTGCAGTCCTCTCCAGGGTAGTTTACTTCATTGACTTTGTTAACATGTTGGTGATTGCTAGAAGCAGCAGAAAACACACCAAAAAGGTGTGAAAGAGATTGGAGTTTTAAGCATACCAGTTATGGTTGCTTGCAGCCATAATCCCAGCGTCCACGAGACTGAGGCAGGAGGTCCGTGAGTTTTAGGCTAGCCTGGGCTATACAGAAAGACACACCTCTATTTTAAGCTTAAGTGAAATATGTGTAGTTACATTGCCAATTCATACAAATGATAGTGGCTTTTCAGAGAGCACCCAGAAGATGCTGATTTGGTTTGTGACACTGATTTTGTTTCCACAGGCTCCTTCATGCTGGTGAATGCTTCTGGGAAACCCGAGGGCCAGCGGGCTCACCTGCTCTTGCCCCAGCTTAAGGAGAATGACACCCACTGCATTGATTTTCACTACTTTGTGTCCAGTAAGAGTAACTCGGCCCCTGGGTTGCTCAGTGTCTATGTGAAGGTAAATAATGGACCACTGGGGAACCCTATCTGGAATATGTCTGGAGACCCAACCCGCACATGGCACAGGGCAGAACTGGCCATCAGCACCTTCTGGCCCAACTTTTACCAGGTAGGCACTTTCTTACCACTTCTTGTCTTAAATCGTCTTCTCATTTCTACAGTTCTAAGTGGTGTTTCTGTTAGTATCATCAAAGAATGTGTAAGAAGGTTTGTAATGGCCGTAGTAAGTGTGACCCAGGCTTTTTTGGTTTGGTTTAGTTTTTCGAGAAAGGGTTTCTTTCTGTAACCGTCCTAGCTGTCCTTGAACTCACTCTATAGACCAGGCTGGTCTCGAACTCACAGAGATCCGTCTGCCTCTGCCTCCTCCCGAGTGCTGGGATCAAAGATGTGCATCACCACTCCCTGGCCCAGGCTATCTTTTAAAGTGACTCTTATGATTATGTGAGCAAAACAAAAACATAAATCTGTTTGTCCATGCTGATATTATTTTAAGAAAACAAAAGGCAGTAACTTGTGTCTTAGTTACTTCTCTATGGCTGTCATAAGCCACCATGACAAAAGCCAGTCATTCAAGAAAGAGTTTATGTGGGCTTACAGTTTCCTAAGGTGAATCTGTGGCTGCCATAGTAGGGAGCATGGTAGCAGGCGGGTCGGTATGGTACAGGAGCAATAGCTAAGAGCTTACAACTTGAGACAGAACCAGGAGGCAGAACATAAGACTCTGGGAATAGCTTGGTTGTTTTGAAACCTCAAAGCTTGCCCCTACTGACACATCTCCTCCAATAAGGCCACACCTTCCTATCCTTACCAAAGAGTTCTGCTGATGAGGGTTAAGGATTTCAAACACATGAACCTATTGGGGCCATTCTTATTCAAACTGCCGCAAGCAGTGTTTGACAGTCTATCAGTCAGTGTGTTAAGGTTTAATAGTCAGGATACTTCAAGCCCAGCTTTGCTACCCACAGCTGACACTGGTAATGAATGGGTTGGTTATAAATTCCTTGTCCAACTCATCCTTATGCCCCAGTACCTGAAATAATGTCTGTTATTTAAGGAATGATAAATGTTTGTTGAGTGGAAATTAAAACGTGGAGAAAGCACTCTTACTCCACAGGTACCTGATTCGACTCTTTTTTAGATTGTACTTTGGCCATAAGTTTTAATGGTTTTTAAATTTATTGCACCTAGATTTATCTCCTGTTAAGAATTTCCCCTAAAGACATAATGGAGACTGATTGCGAACAATTAGCCATAAGAACAAGAATATATACAGTAGTAAAATCAGAAGTAGTATTGTTTCCAGTAATAGGGGGTTTGTTAATTTCTGCTACCTCAACACAAAAGTTTGTTTAGGAGCCAATGGGAATAATATTATGGTCTGGAGCGATGGCTCAGCAGACAACAGCTGCTCTTGCAAAAGACCTGAGCCTGTGATATCCATACCAGCCATTCTTCACCCAGCTCCAAGAGATCTGACACATTCTTCTAACCTCTTGTGGTACATAGGCATGCATGCAGACAAAGCACTCATATACACAAAATTTTCTAAAATAGAAAAGTTATAGATTATTTAGTGATATACTTAAACTTCTGTTAGACAATTAATAAGTATAAAGCAATGTATTTAATTTCACGCTTATATTAGAAATATCTGATAAAGACCAAATGTGTTATAAAACAAATGCATAAAATGTGTTATCTCCCTAACTAATAGGATAGCAAAGTGATTTTTCCCTTTTTTTGCATTATCATGTCATAAATTTTCTCCATTTGTGTTGTTTTTCCTCATAAAAGACTAGTTTTTCCTCAAGGAAAATAATTCTATTTAATGAGTACCTTATTTTGATAGAAATGTACTAGTGACCAGTTAGCAATGTAATTTTCAAATGTGAATTTTGGGGGCAGGGTTTCCTCCCTTCAGGGTTTAAACAGCAAGCCAAGGCAGTGGGTTGGCTGGGCAAGGGTGCAGGGTGTCCTCATATGGATGGCTAATATCTCTGTGTATTGAAGCATGGGGGTGGGACCCTCTCAGGGCAGGGAAATCTTTCTTGGTTATTTTTTCTCCTTCCTGTGGAGCATACTCCAGGCTCATCCCCCAACTCAGAACACTGGGACGTACTGCGCTGCCTCAGGGTTTGTCCTGCCTGTCTTTGTCCTAATGTCCTTCACTTTGGTCAGAGCTCTGCCCTCCTAAATCATAGAGCCAGTTTTTATTATAAGACCTTTCATCATGGTTTGGTATGATGTTGGCCGCAATCAAGGTTAGGATTTCTGTTTTGTCTTTTTTTATACCTTGTTAAAGAACTGGTGCATATTCAATGAATGGCTTAATCTTGACCAATCTTAGCATGCCAGGCTTATCAAAGGGATTACTCAATGACACTGCAGTAGGATGGTTCTATTTATCAGGCTACGGTCATTTTCAGTGCATTATTTCTTGAGCAGCTACTGCAAAAATGCTTTGCCTTCCCAATTAGGGACCCAAGCCAAACTGCAAGGATCTCCATTCTCCCTCTCTCACATTATTAAAGAGTGTGCGATTTACCCACGAGGATCAGAGCGTGGTTCTCATAGCTTAGGGTTTGTGCAGACCATGGCTTCTGTACCCCACTGAGCCGCAGTAACACAAAGCCATCGCCTGGGTGGCCTAAACACAACACACTGATTTGCGGAAGTGTGGGAATCCCTGGCCAGAGGCCTTTCCTCCAAGGGCACTAACTCCATTACGGGAACACCATCCTCGCAACCTGATTCCTTTCACAAAGGGCCCCCTGCCTTCTGATGCTAGTACTTTGGACATTAGCGGTTCACCGGTTCACTGGCTGCATCATTAAGAATCGTGTCATCCTTCGAACTGACGGCTTTCCAGCAATTCTTTGATACCCTGGCATTTGGCATCTCAAAGGCATAAAGTGGAGCTACCCCTCCCTCATAGTTGGCCCCTTTTCTGCCGAGGGGCAGCAAGCACCCAAAGCCAGTGCCCTAATACCAACATATACTATTTAATAAATAGCACGTCCCAGATGATACAGGAGAACTCCGCAGGAAACATAAGTAAACAAGGAGCCATCAGCCTTAAAGCCACCGCCGAGATTTGCATTATCTTGTCTACTTGCAAGAGAGTCAGCTGTATTGACAGAGATGGAATAAAGGGAAACCACCACCCGGCATAGCTTCCTTCCCACTTCCTCACCCAAGGTGTCATCCAAAGTGGAAGGGAGCCGGAGAAAAGGCAGGTCAACTGTGGTCAGTGTAGCCAGAGGCGGGACTTCCGTGAGCTATGGGCCAGCACACATAGGACAGATGGTGGTTGTCTTTCAGTGCTCTTACAAATGTAGCAGGATTAGTAAAAAACCCAAAGACAGATATTGGGGTTCAACCTGAAGGTCAGAAAAGCAAAACAGCCAGTCAATGGCTCTTATCTCTACCTCAGTCCTAAACGGCAATTCTGCCTCTGGGAATTTCAGAATGAAACTGTGAGTGAGAGCTGTCTCCTCCCATTTTATATTCCTCTCTAGTGCTGTGATTAAATGCGTGTACCACTATTGCCCAGTTTCTATGGCAAACTAGTGTGTCTACTGGGATTAAAGGTGTGTGACACCACTGCCTGTTCTGGAAGGCTGACCAGTGTGGCTGTTTTACCCTCTGATCTTCAGGCAAGCTTTATTTATAAAAATACAAATGAAATATCACTACATAAAAATATGAATCATGGAGGTGGGTTCATCTGCTTTGGATGAAAAATCTCATTCAGTTTTCTCTATATAGAGTCTTGTCCTAGACGGAAGATATGAACCTTGATTTGTGATGACTAATCGCTCTAATTTGAAAATACTTAAGAAGCTGTGTTATTATATATGCATATCATATTTCCTTGGGGAGACTCAGTGTATGAGAAACAATATCCAAATGATGTATTCTCAGCTGTTATTTCTGGGCCCAAACCTGGAGACCTAAGTATTTAAAGGAGACAGGACCCGTGAGAGCCTCTGCCAAGGAGACAGGAGTGAGTTCTCCCTCAACACATGTCTGCTTTCTAACAGGAGCTGCAACGTCTATCCAGAGCATAGATTTATATAGTAGTTGTGAAATTAGTATTAAGGTGTATTCATTGATAGTTTCTCGGATAGTTTGGACACCAGTCACATGAGGACTAGTGTTTTGTATGTTTGAGTTGTGCTGCTGTGGACCAGGATCTGGTGTGCCACGCTAACCGTGAACTTTCCCAGCAAGCTGTACCCCCAGCCTGCAGTAAATATGAATTTAGATGGGGAAATGAACTGCTCCAAAGGACTTCTGATGGAGGAAGGTCATTGGTTAATCAATAAAGAAACTGCTTGGCCTGATAGGTTAGAACATAGGTGGGTGGAGTAAACAGAACATAATGCTGGGAGGAAGAGGAAGTGAGCGCAGACGCCATGCCGCTCTCCTCTCCAGGGCAGACACGATGAAGCTCCGACCCAGGATGGATGTAGGCTAGAATCTTCCTGGTAAGCGCACATTAATAGAAATGGGCCAAGCAGTGTTTATATGAATACAGTTTGTGTGTTGTTATTTCAGGGCATAAGCTAGCCAGGCAGCCAGGAGCCGGGTGGCAGGAACGCAGCCTGCAGCCTGCAGCTCCTTCTACAGACTTCCTATTTAATATCAGAATAGGTAGTTAAAGAAAACTCACTTTGGTAAGGCAGGCATGGAAATTACTGTCTACCATGGCCTTTGGTGGACAGTTAGAGTTTTGAAACATGTTTTCTCAGAGTTAATCCCTCTTCTGCAGTCCTTTTGTGTGGCCCTTACTAATTATGAGAGACTACCGTGCAGGTACACTTACAATGGTAACCTGCATGGAATACGGCTAATTGCAGTTTAATTGTGGCTCCTTAAAACACAAATTGTCAAGTATTTGGTGATTAATACATACTTAATTCCTTAATTAATGTTTGGTCTAATTGTTGCTCCTCAGAGCTGCCCTGCTGGGGCTCAGAGGCTGTGGGGAAGTGCAGGCTCCTCCCTGCCTTGGGTGCACCTGCTTCCCCAGATTTAGACATTGACTTCATGCCATTTGAAGAATATTCTCCTTTCATATCCACCTCCTTGGCTTCATTGTCCTGA